ATATATTTATAGAATGTGTGTGCAAAGCCATCATTTTTTTGTGGTGTGGATTAATTCAGTTTTCTTTATATATTGTTACTGGGTTATAAAGTATTTTTTAATTTATAACTTTTTATCTTGTTTGTTTTTTTTTGCTATTTGAAACTCTGTAAAAATAATTATACTGGCTTTGCTGATAATATATCAATAGATTAGAAGACTAGAGCGTGAATAGTCGAAAAGGAGATACTAAACTGAATTTAGATCAAGAGACTGTGGTAGGGTTAGAAAGAAAATATGAAGATAATTCAGTTTCAAATTAAATGAAATTGTTGCATTTAATAAGGTTACTTTTGAACATAATCGCTGGATACTTATTTATCTATGCTCTGGATAAAATGCTCTATTTTTGAAGGACTCTGGGGCACTCTTCAAGTTTATTCAGTCTACAAAGGATAGAATTTACATTAAAATGATATCCGTAGAATGATGATTTAATATAAAATAAAAATATAAAGTATTTAATATAAATTACTATTATTATTGAAATATTTGATTAAATTTATAACATAATATTTTTATGTTTTTAATATTTGCATTAATGTGGATGTAAAAATTAACATAATAATGAATTATAAGTTTTTATTTAGGTTTGTGTAGGACTCTGGGGCACTCTTTAAGTTTATTCATACAAAAAGTGTTTTAAATTTTAAATTAATTTCGAAAAGTCCTATAATGGTCCTAGACTACAAAGGATAGAATTTACATTCAAATGATATCCGTAGTATGATGATTTAATATAAAATAAAAATATAAAGAATTTAATATGAATATTATATTTATAAAGTAATAATTTAACTCTTTATACATATAAATCACTATTATTTCAATATTTGATTAAATAATAATATTTTTATGTTTTTAATATTGAATTAATATTTGCATTAATGTGGATGTAAAAATTAACTTAAATAATGAATTATAAGTTTTTATTTATGCTTGTGTATTATATGAAGATAATTCAGTTTTAAATTAAATGAAATTGTTGCATTTAAGAAGGTTACTTTTGAACCCAATCTCTGGGGCACTCTTTAAGTTTATTCATACAAAAAGTGTTATA